AGTAAGTCACCACGTTCCCCAAGTCCTTCCATATGAACAGTGTTTTTTACTATAATGTGAAATCATCTGCTAACTAAATTTTGACTGCAGAGAGACAATAACATGCAAATTGCTCCACAAATGCAGAAGTAGTTGGTGTGATCGGAGCCTGGTAGGGTAACGTAACTGATTGTTAGAACCAGAAGAAATGTTAGAATCATCTGATTTGATCCTCACACTTTAAAATGGAGGAAATTTAGGCTCAGAGGTCGACCTGGTTTGCCAAAGACACACAGCTAACTTATGGCTGATTTGCAACCAGAATTCAAAGTATCCCCATTTGATGGTCCAAGACTCTGTCCATCTTCACTGGAGCCTAGTTATTAAGAGCAGGGTTATGAGGTCAGACCAACCTGAATTCAAATACCAGCTCTGGTAGTTGGTAGTTGGGTGTAGCATTGGGCCCCAGTGCAAGATCCCACCCTGTGAGAAAAGATTGCCTGGGCACTAATTCAGAGGTACAGATACAGAATGTGCTGTATGGGAAGTATCTTCAGAGAGCAACGCCCTGAAATAGCTGAGGCAGGAGGAGAGCTGGAAGGCTTGGTAGCCTCTCTCAGAAAGACACCAAGACACCTCCATGGTGCAGATTTTCCCAAGATTTTCAGCCATTGCAGCCACTGGGCCTGAATACCGAGTGGAATTATGCTTTCCTTCTGGTGGCACTGTGGTTAAGGCATTTGTCTGCTAACCAAAAGGTTGGAGGGTCGAACCCAGCAGCTGCTCCACAGGAGAAAGATGAGGCAGTCTGCTTCCGTAAAGATTTCCAGCCTTGGAAACCTATGGGGGTCAGTGGCCATGGGTTGTGCCCGTAGAAGTCCCCTCCCCCTGGATCTGCAGGGGTGATTGTGTAGTCTTTAGGTATTCCTTCTTTTAATGACCAGTGTAAACACACTGAGTATGGCTTGTCCTCCCAAGTCTCATTAAATTCTGGAGCTTAATTATGGGCTTTATTTAATGTAGACACTGGCCATTTAATGAAGATAATAATAGGATTCACCTCAAAGGGCTATTATGAGGATTAAAAGGGATAGATAAGCACATAGGGAGATGCTTGACACACATTAGACATTTAACAAATGTTCTGTGCAACTATTTTTCAGCTATAACACAAGAGGGCATTTGGTGTTGATGTTGTCAGAGAACTTTGACCACTGTTTGCATTAGACATGCTTCCATTTATTGAATCTACTACTTAAAACTAATGGCTTTGGTAAAAGCACTAGACAACTGGAAAAATTAATCAACTATTTATCATTGAGGACTTGAATCTCCCACTGTTCACAAATAGGTAGTTGAATCTTCCTACTTCTTTCAAGCCTGCTCTTTAGGTCAGAAGCCCTAAGATCAAGTTTATGCTCCATCACTTAATAAGAGGTGCCAATGAATAAATGATTACATTCTTGATCTTCAATTTCCTCTTTTTAAAATGAGGTGGATAATAATACCTAGTCATTGGATGGTGAGAGAAATTGTGTGCAAAGATGCCAAAAACATGCAAGAAATGAACTCCAGAGAGTGCAAATCTTAAGATGATTGTGTTTCTTTCTTCTCTCAGGTTTCATCTTGCTGCTGCAAAGGGACACGTGGAATGCCTCAGGGTCATGGTTACACATGGTGTCGATGTGACAGCCCAAGATACTGCCGGTATGTGGTTTTTAGCTCTTAAGTCAACAGGCCAGCGTTGAGAGCAGATATCACAAAGGTGGTATATATATTCATTGTGGGAAATTTAGAAACTACAGCAAGCCAACAGAAGAAAAGGAAGGTCCTTCTAATGAGTAGGCTCTGACATAGTTTCATGCATCTGTTTTGCATTTCATTTTGTATATGGTCAGTAAAGTAAAGATGTTATAACTCTTTTTTTTTTAAGAGCTTGTTTTACATTCAATGTAATGCGTACATTTAGTTTCATTCCCCATTCGCCATGTCCAAACTTAACCCAGTCTCCTCCCCTCTCTACCCTGTAACCCTCCCCCTGTGCCCCTCATATTTATGCACTTCTGTTTGTCCTGCATTTCCTCAGTTTGAATGCTGGTGCTCTGGTGTCCCATGGTCTATTGCTCTCAGGGATGTTTTACTGTAGAAGATGTATAACTCTTATCCTCTATTTTGAATATTATATTCAAAGATTTTATATATGTGGGCCAAGTACTATTCCCTGAGTTTTGTTTTTATGAATCATGGTGTGAAGTGGTAAATCGAGTGAGTTAGCTAAGAGCTTATTTCATAAACTAGTTGAGATGGGCTCTGTGGACAGAAGCCATGGTCCTCAGCTGGCCCAACTACCTGTGGTTTTCAGTCTTCAATGAGCTTCACTGCATCCCAATCACCCAGGGAACTTAGAAGGAAGAAAGGAAAGCAAGGAGGAAAACAGGGAGGGAGGGATAAGGAGGAAAATAAATAATACACCCACACATACGTACCCAGGCTCTGTCTCCAGAGATTGGGATTCAAGTTGGTCTGGAATTCAGTCAGTCATCGGTATTTTTTTAAAGCTGCCCAGGGGGTACTAATTTGCAGCCAGTGTTGACAAATGATGAGCAGGGGAAATTTACTGGGCTCTTACCTTTTATAAGCATTGGCTTTTGGGAAGGAGCCACCAGGTCTTCAGCTAGAGGTTCTGCCAGGCTGGCCACACCAAAGGACAAAGCAACAACTGCTAGCTCTTCATTTCTCTATTGCACTTGGAAATCTTCAGCTTTGAGCAGTTTTCTCTCAGTTCATACTGGAATATGAAATCAGTCTAACCCTAAAGTCTTTAGGTTTTTCATTAATTCACATAGGAGTCCCTTCCTTTCCAAAAAAACCTTTGATTTCCTCAGAGTATTCTCTGGCAGTCAGGTATTATGAATGCTGTTATTACTCAAAATATGGTTGGAAAACTTTATTTTCAAAGTCTATTGCAGTTTTTTGGTTTCTTTTATTTTGTTTGGGTTTCAATCATTTTATTAACTGTGGATCTTTGTCCTTGAAGAATAGGTTTGTATTTTTAGGACAAGCCTAGTGTCACTTGAAGTCAAGCCAGGTAAATAAATGAAATTGTGTCACACTAGTAAAACATTTTTCATCAAAAATAAAAGGTGACTGAATTAATAAAATGCTATTTTTGAACATTGCTACAGAGAGTACCAAAAATATTTTGAGAAATAGCAAAGCCAATACAAGACTGAATAGTTTACTTAAATGATTGCCTTGCGGGAACTACTAATTTTTGTTGCATACAGTTAGTTATTTTGTTTGTTTTTAAAGTTCTTGTTGCCAGGTGTGGAATCAGTCATCTTGTAGAAAGAATTTTGGCCTTTGTTCTTGATTCTTTGGAAGTGGACCAACACCTGAGGTTAATAAATGAGGGATGTCCAGACCAAGAGGGACCACCTGGGGTCCTTATGTTGACTAAGCCTCACGAGCATAGTGATATCTATCATGGCCATGTTGTGAGGCTGTAAGAGCTCAGAGCCCTAAGGATCAGGTGAACTTTCTGGTTGGTGACCATGCATGGGAGAGGGTCCCTCTTTGGGACGTGGAAGCTCCACGCTGGGAGCTGTCCCAGACCTCAACCTATGAGTCACTTCATTTGTATACTTTTTTATTATAATAAATCTGTAGCTACGAGACTATGTATTATAATGAAATGTGCAAAGACCTGGAGTTAGAAAACCAAAAGGGAAGAATATGCTCAGCATTTCTCAGACTGAAAGAACTGAAGAAAAAATTCAAGCCTCGAATTGCAATATTGAAGGACTCTATGGGCAAAATATTGAATGATTCAGGAAGCATCAAGAGAAGACAGAAGGAATGCAGAGTCACTGTATTGAAAAAGAATTGGTTGACATTCAGCCATTTCAGGGCTAGCATATATGATTAAAAACTGATGGTATTGAAGAATGTAGTCAAAGCTTGGTGAAAAACAAGGCTCCAGAAATTGACAGAATACCAATAGAGATGTTTCAACAATTGGATGCAATGCTGGAAGGACTCACTCATCTATACCTAAAAATTGGGAAGCCTGTTGCTTGGTCAACTGACTGGAAGAGATCCGTATTTGTGCCCATTTCAAAGAAAGGCAGCACAACAGAAGATGGAAAATTTCAAACAACATTATTAATATCACACACAAGTAAAATTTTGCTGAAGATAATTAAAAAATGGTTGTAGCAGTACATCAATAGAGAACTGTCGGAAATTCAACCCAGATTCAGAAGAGGCTAGGGAACAAAGGATATCACTGCTGATGTCTGATAGATTTTGGCTGAAAGCAGAGAATACCAGAAAAATGTTTACCTCTGTTTTATTGACTATGCAGCAGCATTCAACTGTGTGGATCATAACAAATTATGGATAACAATGCAAAGAATGGGAATTCCAGAACTTAATTGTGCTCATAGGGAACCTGTACATAGACCAAGAGACAGTCGTTCACACAGGACAAGGGGATACTCGATATCTTAAAATCAAGAAAGGTGTGTGTTGGGGTCATATCCTTTCACCATACTTCTTCAATGTGTATGCTGAGCAAATAATCCAAGCAGCTGAACTATATGAAGAAGAACATGGCATCAGGCTTGGAGGAGGACTCATTAACAACTTGCAATATGTAGATGACACAACCCTTACCTGCTGAAAATGAAAAGGATATAAAGTACTTACTGAAGAAGTTCAAAGACTGCAACTTTCAGTATAGTTTATACCCCAACATAAAGAAACCAAAAATCCTCACAACTGGACCGATAATCAACATCATGATAAATGGAAAAAATGTTGAAGTTGTCAAGGATCCACAGGCAGTGCCCATGGAAGTAGCAGTCAAGAAATCAAATGCTATATTGCATTGGGCAAATCTGCTGCAAAAAACCTCTTGAAAATATTAAGAAGCATGAATGTCATTTAAGGACTAAGGTGCACCCTCACCCAAGCTATGATGTTTTCAGTTGCCTCTCATGAACTTGCGACATGTTTTCAGGAGGGACCAGTCCCTGGAGAAGGACATAATGTTTGGTAAAGTAGAGGGTCAGCCAAAAAGAGGAAGACCCTCAACGAAATGGACTGGCACAGTGGCTACAACAATGGGCTCAAACATAGCAACAATTGAGAGGCTAGTACAGGACCAGGCAGTGGTTCGTTCTGTTGTACACAGCTTAGTATAAGTCAGAACTGACTTGAGAGCATCTAATGACAGTAAGTGTGATATACTGTCTGAATTCTCTGAGTCATTTTAATGAGTAACAAACGCACAAGAGCAGTGAGAGCCAGCAGAGCCTGGTGTCTACCTATTTGACAGTGTGAAAGATGTCCTTCTAACATGCGATCTCTAACCTAACTCTCAGTGACTAAGATCTGAGGATGCTTCATCAGCAGCTGGCCTAAAAGACAGTGTTGGTCTAACTTGTGAGCTCTAACCCAGCTGTGGTTGCCTAGGTCTTAGAGGGAGTGTGTCGTGTGAGTGGCTGGAACAGGGATGGAGAAGTACGATCGTGAGGACTGGGTCCACTCTGACATTTTGGGATTAGAGTCATGCTGATTCCTGCCATGCAGTTCACAATGAAGATGGAGTTTAACATCTTTGCCTCTTGCTGAGTACAACTGTCATTACTTTAAAGTCATACTATATACATAATAGAGGGACATGACAGGCACAGTACTCATAATAAGATGCATTCCCACATAAGTGGAGGGGATTTCTGCTCTAAGAAAATTATGATCTTAAAGAATTAGCTTAGCGTGAATAAACTGGATCCTCTGAGAAGCAATACTGGAGAGGTTGCTGTGATGTTTCTCAGGGACAGTGGGAACTGCCACAGTCCGCCATCACTCTGATGGGCATTGATGGACATCATAGCACTTTGTGCTCCAGGACATTATTCAAACATTCCATGAGCTGAAAATGTCTCAGGGCTGCATCACTTCCCTTTCACCTAACATTTTTAGCAGTGATGTCAATTCTTTGGGTCTTGGGCCTCTTCTTTGGTCTGAATGAGACACCACCTTCTTCCCGTGATTTTTTGAAATCATGCAAAGAGAACACAGAAACAAAAGAAGGAAAAAGCTGCGAGAATGGATATGTCTGTTGTGTTATCTAGAACAACATTTCTCAATCATTACTCTGTCACAACAAAGAAGATAAAAGTTGATGGCTTTTATGCCCTATATCCTTCCTGCTAGCTGTAATGCCCATCCTCTATATTTTGCTCTCAAAAAAGCATGTATACAAGGAGAAGACAAGTATATTAGTTACAATTCGGTGCCCCTGTGGTCATCATTAAAAAAAAAAAACCAAACTCACTGCCGTTCAGTCAAACTCAACTCATAACAACCCCTCCTTTGATTTCCAAGGCAGTATCACTACTGAAGTAGATTGACCAACCTTCCTTCTGAGGAGTGACTGGTGGGTGGGTTTGATCCATAAGCCTTCTGGTTAGCAATCTAGAACATTTGTGTGTGTGTGTGTGTGTGTGTGTTGGGGGGAGATTAGGAGATAATTTTAATGGCTGAGTTTTTACAGGTGTTGTCTTTTTAGTTAACCTAGTTTAAAAAACCTAACCAGTTGCTTCGGAGTCAATTCTAACTCATGGCTACCCATCTGCTTCAGGGTAGAACTGTTCTCCATAGGGTTTTCCATTGCTGTGACTTTTCAGAACCAGATTGCC